TAATATTTCTGCATCATCCTTAGTATTTATCACTCATAGACATTTGCAACCCTCATAGCAGTGCTTGAAAAAAGAGATATGCTCTGAAAATTTAGAAATAAATTACTGAAGTAACTATAGTCCAACACTAAAATATACTGTTTTACTATGTTGGTTTTTCTCATTTGAAATGAAAATCTAAAAAGCCTTCACGTTTGATTTTGTGTGTTAAGCTGCCATTATAAAAACACTAAATGAATAAAATTTTACAAGCAAGGCAGCATTATCAGGCTAAGTAGTGGGCTTATAGATGGTAATGTTTTACATAATTCAGCTATTGATTCATCTATAGATTTACATTTCTTAAGTGCAAAAATAAATGTAATTATTCCATTACATACAGAATTCACCTCCCAAATATTCCAGAATCTAAGAGAAAGGATTGATACTTTCTGCTATTTCATTTTTGCTTAAAATTAGGTTCTTAGAATGTTTAGATCTTATTATAAATATTACAACTTATAAATTCCAGGGTTATAATCAATTATCTATGTTTTCAAACACAGAGGGAAAATGGGTTAATAATTGAAGTACTGTTTTTCAGTTTATTAGTAAAAATCAGCTTATAAGAGGTCAATGTAATGGTTTCCATTGATAATTACCATAAACAAATGTTAAAATTTTAAATACTAAGTGCTGGAATTCCAAGCCCAGTGAAAGTTTGTGCAATATCATGCCTTCCATGTATGATTTTCCTTTTAAAATAAACAATAAATAAATAAATTTACACAGAAGTGGAAACTATTCCTACTTTTATTTGCATTCTTCTTTCCATTCATTGTTAACATTCAAAAATAAAACACGTTAATTCCTAAGGAATTGTTGCTTTTAACTTGAGTGTAATCATTTTAGAACACTCATGTTTGTCAATGATGATACTTAGAATTTTTTATGTCCATTTTTAAATGGACAAAAAGATTAACATTTTTAAATGTTCACACCTAAAATTAATCTACCACTCCAAGAAAAAGAATGAAAGTGGTGTTTTCTTACTCCATTTGATTTGTTCAGTACTTCCCTATAATCTTCAAGGTCCAGTATACTTTTTTTAAACTCTAAAGCAAATGCTGAAAAGCCACAATCCAGTAACACAGAAATGAATAACATTACTTTATTCCTTTCAGAAAACACAATGACTGAAATATCTTGGAAATATTACAATATAATTCTGAATGAAGTTGAGTAAGATATTACTCTGAGTTTAACTTCCAGCTTATTAAATGTAATATTTGCTTGTCATCCTTCATAGCCAAGCATATAGACATATATAATTTGTCAGCAAAGGCTTTATGATATAGTAGCTATAAATAAAATATTTGTCATTTTACAAGAACCTAATATGATTCAAAACCTAGTAAAGTCTACCTCCCCAAATCACTCATTTCTTTTTTGATATACTTTTTATTTTTTATAAAATATGTATTCATAAATTAATTTGAATAGAAAATATCTAGATATGTACAATGTATAATGCATGCAGAAAAGCAAAGTTTAGATTAATGAATCAACTTTAGTTACTTTAACTAAAAGTGGGCAGTTTATGCCTACTACTAGGTTGCTCAAAGAGCAATCAAATGTAATTGAAGCCAAGTAATTCACACTATTTATAGACATTTTTCAGAATCACCTGCTTTGTAGTGATTTTTTTTTCAGCACAGTTGTAAAGTTTTGATTTTTAAGAGTCCCTTTGAAGACGTGGCAGATGTTGGCTTTGCTAATAATGATGGAAAGCGTAGCAGGTTCAAAGTTACAAAAATGTTTAACACATATAAAATATAACAGTGTGCTTTTCTATTAAATTTGGTTATTTTCAATTGTCAACAAACTGTAAAGGAAGCCTAAAATCCATAAAAATTTGCTTCCAAAACATGAAGCTTCTAGAGTTTGTATATGTGTGTGTCCATGTACATTTGTGGAGGGAAAATGCATAAGAATATATGCTAGAGAAGCTTACATATTACAGTCTTAAATCGTTACTATGAATAAAATTGTAAGGTTTATAAATATTAAAGCTGCTTTTCAATATTTTCTGGTGCTTAAAATTCTTTTAGAATTTAACACAGTAATTGGCACAGACACATACAGTCTAGCTATTAGATGCAGGGATACAGAATTATGGTCCTGACTTAACCCTGGATTTATGTACTAAATTTTCTTTCAACTATTAATACAAAGTAATTATAAACTACCTAACAACATGCAAATTGTCTCACTATATAGGATGAGATTTTTATCTAACACAAGTTTAAATTTCAGTTCAGAGCTCACTTCAATTTTATTTTTTAGAAACACTGAAATACTAAAATGTGCTATAAGCAATGAGAGATATATGTATTAATAGCATATCAGGATCATAATCATTTTCAACTTTACTTATAGAAAACCTAATGCAATCATTAAAGAGAAATATATATTTAATTTAAATCTATCTCAATATCTGACAAATATTAATTACCTCAAGCTGAAATTAGCAAATAAAATTTTATTTTCAATAAGTACACATAGCTTTAAACAGAAAATATTGTGATATTTCTTTTTAATCAATATAGCATCACAATACCAAAGGAAAGAAAAGCACATTCTAAGTACCCAGCATTTTTATCCTTGGTGATGACTAATTGTACTTTCCACTCAAGTTTTAATTTATTCATAATTTATTCAGCTGACACAAACACTTATATTTGTTTGTTTTTCCATTACCCTCATTATCCGCTTCAACATGTAGAAATGAACTTAACTTTATTAAATGGCTATTTCCCACACAGTTGGGGGAAGAGATAAATAAGTGTTGTTAAATTACTCCATTTTTTTAAAAAAATATGTTTTATTAAAATAAATTAAGGGAATCAGTTATTGAATTCCACTTTCTTGGTTTCCCCCAAACAAAATGACATGTGCTTGTATGAAAATTCAGTTTTCCCTAAAAAACTTAGGGGCAATGGCTCAGTTCTGGAAGCATAAGGCTATCACGTAGGTTTCTCATTGCAGAAAAATAAAATGAACAGTAAGCGCTTATGGGAATTGCAAGAGTACTCTCATCAGCCTGAACTGGGATCTCTTTCAAAAGTTACACTGATATCGAATGTTCAGTTTATAAAATTGTCACTGCATTCTAAAATCGATGGTTTTTCTAATAAAAATTGAAACCTTCTTACAACGATTAACCTTTCACTATCTAAAGGGAGTTTCACTTATAGTTAGGAAAATACAGTAAATATCAGTGACACCACTGCTAACTTTCTTATAAAAACTAATTTGTGATGGAACATTAAAAGTTCACCCCCTGACCTTGGAAAATAAAAGTTAGTTTTTGAAACTCTGACAGAAGAATCTATCCCATACTAACGCTGAAGAACGACTGATATTGCTGCGAAGGGGAGAGGAATATTAAACATGTGGTCAATCATTTTCATTTACGTGACATCTCACCTAAAGCTTTATAAAGGATAAACATTCCTTCAAACCAATATATGGGATTACCTACTAGGACTATTATTAACCCAGTTCCGCAGAGGAGGAAAAATATACAAATATTAGATTAAACAAATGACACCTTCCAAAAAGATGGAAGCCAGTCTGCACCATAGCCACGAAAGAAAACTCACAAGTCTCTCAATTTTAAAGTATCTTTTAACAATTTTATGATAATAGAAGTAGGTAAGAGCTTTGAAAAGTTGCCTGGAAAACTTTTAGTTTCTCTGAATTGCTACAATTTACTCGGCAAGTTGTCCCTTCAAGCACCAGAGGTCAGGAAGGTTCCCTTTTTGCGTCGCTGCTCAAATTATCCCCACTGAAATCAGCGCCTCCTGCGCGCACCCTTGCATACCACCTTCAGGCACGTAGCTAACTAACACTACCCGAGTTGCTGTTCGCTTCCCAGTATTTGCCGCTGCTAAAACCCACTTGGTAGAAGGATTTATTTTCCACTCTTGAAATTTAGATTCTGTGATTAACTTACACCACACGAACGTGTACTATATTAAGGTTCGTCTTTCTTCCAGCGTGAGCATGTATTTATTTACAATTCTCTGACACATTCCTTAAAATCTGAATTCCTAGATAATGTCTTCTTCCCCAAGAGGGAGAAATTTTTACCATTTGAAATAGGGTGCTATTTAAAGAACTCTCAAACAAGAATTTTTTTTTTTTAAACTAAAACTTTTTTTTTCTCATGCGCTCTGCCAAGTTCCATTGCAAGTTCCAAATATTGTGCAATAATTTGGAAATCCAGTTAACGATGGGAAAAATCGAGCCACTCAGAGTCGGGAACTTGCAAGAGAAAAGTCAAGAAGCGGCACCCGCCGGCACGCCTGCCCAACGGACGCCGCATCCCTGGGCACACGCCCCTCCCTCCCCAGCGCTGGGATGGAAGGTCACGCTTCGCAATCGATTTCACAGCCACTTGTCCTTTTTTATCAACCTTCTGGTAAACTAGTTTAGAACCCTGGAGAGCTTAGAGCTGCTAGCTGTGTTGCTCTCGGATAAACACGTGTCCCCAAATAACAGGACCAAAGATTCACCGCCGAATTTAACACATTCCCATCTTCCCCGCCGCCACCCTCCAGTGCCAGACTCTTCCCTGGCATCTCCCCGCCCCCTTTCCAGGCCGGCGCGCACTCTCGAGGGTGCCTGGCGCTCTCTTACCTGAGCTGTCGCTTTTCCTCTTGCCACCGCTTCGCTTCTCCGCCTCCGCAGGTGACAGTGCCTGGCGACCGTAGTCCCCCGGCGCGCACGAGGCCCCGGTCGGGGTGCTGGAGCCCAAGCTGGAAGAGTTGGAACACAGGACAGGCGGGCTGCTCCCTAACTCTGGGGGTCCTCCGGAGTCGGGCTGGAGGCAGAGGCTGTGCCGAGCCGCACTCGGTGGGGAGGACATCTGCGGGAGGTGCCAGTTGGTTTGCAGAGCCTGGTGCTGCTGCTGCTGATGGTGGTGATGGTGGTGATGGTGGTGGTGGTGGTGACCCCTGTGATGCTGGCTGGCAAACATGCCCTCTTCGTTGGGGTATCCCGCGATTATGCAAGATGAGGAAGAAGTAGAGAGCTCGGGGTAAGACATATGGTCAGATCTTCCATGGAGGGCGAGAGAGGATTGGGAGAACGGGTGCAAGCCTTGCGCCGTGGCGTGAGGGCTGCGCAGGCAGCCAAAGAGCGGGTGTTCCATAGCATGCAAGTTTCGGGTTCCACGCAGAAGACTTCACGACGGTTCCAAAGGCCACCACCCTCTGTCACTTTTCACTGGAAACCGTGTGATGCTTTTTCCCCCTCTCAAAGCAATAGCCGTGCACTTCTGCGGACCTCGGATAATCCCGGTCCTGAGCCCTAGCGGCCAGTCTCCTTTACATATGAACAGTCGGACCTGGAAGAGCTTCCCTGAGCTACTCAGATGTCAAGAGTGGGAGAGGTTGAAGCCAAAAGAAGGTGGTCCCAGGGAACTGCCTTCAGGGGGAAATGGCTCTGCGAGGTTATAAATAGACTGTAACGTGAGCTGGGGGCTGGCTTAGGAGCCCAGAGTTGACCACATGCAAACTCCCTCCAAAACTCCCGCTCAGTCTGCGCCACGCGCGCGCTCCCAGTTCCACTTCCTATCGCCGGCTGGACAGACGCAGAGCGTCCACGCCCGCCTAGCCCTGCCAGCTACCAGGACTACAAGCGGCGCGCCAGCGTCTAAATCCCGCCCAGGAGGGCAGCGGCTCTACCCTCCAGACTCTGGAGGCCAGGGCGCGGCGCGCACCAGCGCCAAGCGAGCACCCTATTTCCTACCTACTAACTTTTCTCTTGGGAAAACGTAATTTTTCAGTGTCATTTGGGAAGTGTCACCTGCAGAAAAGCTAGGGATTACGCCTAGCCTTTGAGGAACACGAAAGAAGTGATAAGGTTAAGGGAAAAGATCAGAGCTAGTTTGGCGCACTCTCGAAGTTTTTCAAACTTCGCTTCTTCCCGTGCCCTGGGCGCCGCAGTGCGCCTAGGTTTTCGCAGCTAGTTTCTGTGGGTGGGTGGTTAATGGGTTGGGACGCCAGGTCTGAGGTTTCGGGGATGTGCACCATGGCCTGGAAAGTGTGGTTCTCAGTGTGGAAAGAAGGAACACCTGGTGGGGTAAGTGGGAGGAAAGCGTGAGTCTGAGAGGGTTGCAGATGCCTGCTCCCTGGCATCCTCACGTGCGATGCCCGGTGGGGTCTCCCTCCCCCCTTTTTCCTGGTCTCGCTTAATTTCCTAGCCACTTGTCCACCAAGAAGAAATTTTCGTGGGTCAAGAATTATTTCCAAGCAATTTTGTCCCGGTCACATGAGATGTGTAGATTGCACGCACATTTCTTGCTTTTTCCCTCAGGAGCTAGCCCAGGGCTCTTCAGTTCCCTCCAGAAATCCACTCTCTTCTGCTCAAAAATAAATCCACTAATCCTATCTCTTACCACCATGGCTCCATTTACTGAGAAATCTTTAATTTCGATAGCTCTAAGAATTCACTAAGCTTGGGCACTTGGTTACATCTTTGCATCCCTGAAAATAAACTCGATAACTTGCCTCCAGTAAGCATGCGAGAGCAAGGGCAGGACTTTGATACTGCCACTTGCTTGGTGGGCGACAAGATTCGCTGGGGCACAGTCGTTTATACACAAGTGAATGGTGCTGTAATGAGCAGAAGGAATAGTCATGTCCCATCTGGGACGTGTCGCATCAGGAGAATATCTGTAGTCACCTATTTCGCCCGGGGCCCCGAATGCACCACCAGCAGTGTCGCCCTGTTATTTTCATTGTCTCAGGTGTCCAGAGGATGATGACCAGGTCTTTGAAGTTGTTAATGGGATTAATGGGTACAGCAAACTGGGCTAGACATCTGGTTTGAATTAGGAAAAAGTATTGATTAATCTTTGAGAGGTGTCCCCAAAGCAGAACATTTCCCCTCTTCTTCCAGCCCCACTGTTTAAGCCTGACTATCTTCTTTTCTTTTAAGTCACGCTGCAGAATGGTGGCTTCGAAATAATATTCGTGTGAAAGATCGAATTGTTTTCTATTGCTTAGAGGTGGGGTGGAGTGGGGGTTGATCAGGAATTCTGAGATTTGTAAGCGCTGCTTTCTTTAACGGAAATTGAGCTCTATTTTGAGGGAAATTAGTTTTGCAGACTTCGTTTAAAATAATATATAAGCATATTTTAGCATATTTCCTTAAATAAATAAAAGCGTGTATTACAAGAGAAGAAGATAATATAAAATAAAAAAAAAAAAAAAAAAAAAAAAAAACTAAAACTTTTGTTCACCAGCTGCTCAGCTTTTCAGTCTGGGTCTGAGCTGAAACCTGCTGCAAGCCTTTGACGGTAAGATTTTCTTTACCGACATTTTGGGAATCTAATATTGTTTTAGACTTCGAAAGGGGGTGATGTTCAGGTTGCACGTTTCTAGGGGTTTTAAGCACTCGCAGGATGGCGTCCAGGACTTAGATCTTAAGAATATTTCTTCCTGCCACTCCCCATGCCCTTGGCTCTTTAAGAATAAAAAGAGGTGGGGGAGTTATAGTCCTCCAATATCATTGGAATATTTTTTGTATTTTCATTGTGTTTATGGTTTCAATATGTGCTTTAATATTAAAAGTTAAAGTACAAAGAGCAACCCCAAACTTCCCCAACTCATGTAGGTTCTCTATGGATTCTGGGTGAAAGCATTAAAGGCTTTATTTAAAGTGAGATTTAGGCAACCACCTCAATAAACCTAACCAGAAATATTTACATAATATAATGCTGTCAACCAAAAGCATTGTGGAAAATGTCAGACAAGACAGACTAAAATAACACATGATCTGCAGACATCAGTACAAAACATCCACAATGGTCCTTTTGGTTTGCATTACAATGGTTTAGAGGAAGCTAAGCAATTACTAAATGATTGGATTTGAATTTAACCAGTGTGTTGCAGGTAACTAGAAACAAGCCCACACAAACCTTTCATCTCCAGGAGCTGCCACTTCTTAAACCTGCCCAGTGACTGTGCTGGATTTTTTTCTCACTCACTGTGTCAGATGTTAACAACATGTCCAGAACTTTCTCTACAACCTGCCCCAGTCAGTCAGCCTCTGGAACTGTGGGGCCAGGAACCTGGGAAGAAAAATTTAGGAAAGGTTAGAAAAGGAGGAAGTCATTCTGAAGGCATGCAATGAAAACAAAGCTAGCAAGAAAGGTCTTTTTAACTGAAGACAGAAAACATTTAATATCAGCAAAAATTATGAGGTCCAGTTTTCTTACAGAAAACACAATATAAGGAAAATATTTGGAAAGAAAAAATGAAGGACTAAAAAGGAGGTCTTGGTGAATTCCAGAATTAAATATGACTTCAATTTTCTCTGGATTTCTAAATATCTATTAATTTTTATATAAAGATTTTTAAATTTTCATTTATTATATTACTTGGAATAAGATAGAATACTGAATTTTATGTTGTAGGTTATAGAGAAAATTTGAAAATGTAATAACAACAGGAAAAAAAAATCTCTAGCATTTCCTATAATAGCTACTTCAGTGTTCACATCCATAAAATTCAACATTGAAAAGATGCCTTTTTACCTAATGATATCAAGAAGAATGGTAAAAATTATAAAATTTATTATAAAATTTCCATATAAACATCATTTAAAACCATACATTACATAGTATTTATCCTACATTCACAATATACTTGAGTTTTCCTGAAGAAAAGGTATATCGATGCCAATGTTTCATGAAAGATTTCAATATCAAGTAACACCTTATAAAGAGGTTGATTATGTGAAAAGGTAAGCTCCTTAGCTCTTGTAGGGTTCACAATTATAATTATTTTAAACTTAGGCTAGGTTCTTTAAACTTGGTAAGTGTGTATATTTATTGGTTCCTCAGCTTAAATGAAATGACATTTAAGAGTAAAGGTAGAGATTTATTTTATTAGGACTATTTTCTTTTAAAACGAATAGAACACATATTAACAATTCAACAAAATTATATTTAAATTTTACTTTAAGATTTATGATGATTCTTTTAAAAGTTGCCATTCTTCTGCACACGTATGACATGAGTTATCATGGAACTTCAAATATTTAAAATTAAATATAAAACTCTACTTTGAATTAACTAATAGATAAATTTTGCTTGGTAACATATAGTCATAATATATGAACTTAAGTGTGGATAATTACCTTAATATTGGAATTTATCTCAGAAATCTTTATTGAGTATAGAAATTTTATTTCTGCTATATTTTGCCAAAAAGTAGCAGTTATGTCCTTCAGTTGGTTATTCTGAAATAAAGAATTTTGAAAATGTATCCAAATATGCTAAATACCCAATGGTAATTTATGTGATTTATGACGTACTTCATTTTATAAAACTAAGGAATTGACTTTCCCCAGGAACTATGCATTATAAAATTTATGGAACAATTTTGCTACAGCTAACGCCATACTGATTCCATATACTTATACACATTTTTTAAGTGTTATTATTTTTACATAACACTAATTGTTAGGTTCACAATAAAACTTGTTACATTCATTTTACATGTACCAAAAGAAATGAATACTTAAAACCTTACTTCTAAACTGTAAAAAAATCCAGCACACTTTGTTTTTCTAGTTTCTAGGTCTTCCTGCATTTAAATTTATTTCCTTCAGAAATTGGTGGTTTTCTTCAATTCAATTACTGTATAGTATAATCAATGAAACTGTACTAAACACTAAATATAATTCTGCCTAAAGCAATAAGAGATGAAACAAAATATATCAAAATTAGAACAATTTAACAGCTAATCTTTAGAAAGCCAGCATGCAATACAGATTAGGACTAATAAAATTAAATCTTAACAATTGAATTAAAAATTCAAAATATATGCATTTTTTTCATAACATGTATTCCTACAGTTAATAAAATTCTAATGATCTTTTTTCTTTCTTTTTCTCTTTTTATTTTGTGAGTAGTCGTAAGACTGGGAAGACATTGATTGCCTCTCAAATATCAAAAACTTCTAACTGGACTTCCTTTTGTTCACCTGTTTTAAATCCATAATTATTTGATAGTTACCTCATAATAAT